TGAATCAGGTCTCACTCAGACTTGGCTGGAAATGCGAAGACTTAATGTATGAATTTTTAAAGGCCTCGTAGCCGCCCCCCCTGCTTTTTTCCCTCCCCCCAGTAACTGGCTGAAGCATTTCATCTGAGTTGCAGGGCCTGTTCTTAAGGGCCGTCTTCATTTTTTTCCTCTAAAGACTCTCTTCTGACTCTTTCTGACCATCTTTGCGAAACTGATTAACTCAAGATTATGGCTACCTTTCCATGCGTGAAGTAAAGCAATATGCCTTATATTCCTGTATTCCAAGAGGGTGGGGTTGTATAGTTTGCAAGCCTCAAAACAAGGCCATTAATGTAATATTCCCACTACAAGTCTAATTAAAGTGCCTTTGAAAGGCTGTGAGGGGCTTAGAAAATCGTATCAGTCTGTTCCAAATGGCGTAGCCAATGTACAAACTATCCGAGCACCCTGGTTGTGGGTGGTCTTCGTAGTTAATGAATGTGGAATTAAATGGAAAATTCCAGATGCCAAATAGGACAAAGGTGGAAAAACCACAACATGAGCAACTGCAGATTTTTGGGTAATTGGCCTACCAGCCCTGGTTATAAAAGCTGGATAAGTTAATAAATGAACTTTGTTAGAAAAAACGTTAGCTCTTCACCAAACTATACCCTCCCTCTGGCCTTTTTAATTTTCACCCCAGAGAAGAAAATAGAGGCCACAGTCCAGTGTGACTGTACCTTTTGGCTGCCTTTAAACTTTAGCTGCGTGAAACTTTGGTGAAACCAAATTTCACTTCCGTTGCATAGTGTAAAGCATCCTGCAACTGACTTGAAGCATGTTTGATACAGCCAGTCAGAATGCTGAAAACATACCGTGTGATTAAGTCAAATGATGTCGTTTCAGTTAATTGATTTCAGCACATCATGGGGAAGAGAATAAAGCAGAAGATGGTCTTTTAGGAATTGCTTTGGTCATTTGCTGATAACCAGGTAGTTTAAGTAGCTAGGTAGCTAGCCATCTAGCGTAAAACTGACAGCTGTTTGAATAGCTGCTTGTGACTTTGATTGTATTTGAATTGCGTTGTGTTGCTGTCAGATTGCACAGAGCTTACATTTCATGCAACTTGCAACCTGCAACTAGTTGTATGAAAGGTTCAGCATGTAAAGCCAGCATTAGATGCTTAGTCTTATTTGACCTGTTTAATTTAGAAATTTCAAATGTGCATTTCTGACTGTAGTGCTTTGAACACCTTCATCAGGATATAACATCCCTTTCACAGCCATATTCAGAATATAAACATGCATGTGGTAGTAAGGTTGTAGCTGATGATGCCCTGTGAATGTCTGAGAGGGCTGCATGTGTCCACTTAGTAAGCCTGTCCTAGCCTGCCTTTGAGTCTTCACATGACCTGCCACTCTACCTGCTGCCTCTGACCCACATACGTCTCCTTGAGAGCATCAGGACAGCTTTAACGTCTCTCTCTTTGCCGCCATCGCTCCCCCAAAGGCACAGAGGCCTTTTTATAAAAGGAGATATTTTTGTAAGTAGAAAAGAGATGATTTATCTCTCTGCTTTTCTGTCTCTTAGAAAAAAAAGAGCTCGTCAGTTGTCTGTTTTCATTTTATGGGTCCTGGTGGAAAATATGGAAAAGTGCAGAATTTGATTTAGTTCATTTGTAGGTTTTGGATGAGAGCGAGGAACAAGAATTAAAACGTAAGAGAGGGCATGAAAGCTATTTTTGTTTCCAGACATTTTCTTCTGTTTACAGTATTCGTAACTGGAGTTTGAGAGGATGAATATACCATTGGATAGTAAAGGTAGTACAAATATCTTATCATAACAGAATTACATCATTTAACTCTGTATGTGAATAGAGTGGATCTGATTGGGGCTGGAGACTTCCATCGTTTCCAGTCGGATTCCACGCTAAAGAGACCCAGCCTACAACGACTCAGTGTGACCCTCAGACAAGCCCCCGTGGCTGGTTAGTTAAGGGCTACTTCGACATCTGCGTATTTGCGAATATGTTTAGGCTGACGTTCGCATTGGTCTGTGCCAACGTACTTGCACAGACGTAAACATGTCCTCTAGGGGGCAGCGTCGGAACTACACTGTTTTCCTCTTTCTCTCTGATAAATAATACTCACTTCAGTGTTTTTGTAATGTTTTGAAGAAGCTCATAAAGCTTTAATTGGGCCGGAAATTTTGGTCCAGACTCAAAAGCAACCCGATCCGTCACGACGCACAGTATCACGTTTCGAGTCCGAACCCGCGAAATTGTCTCCAAAACCAACGTGAATTACATGATCGTCATCTATTGAGTCCGAAATTGACCCAAACTGGCACTTTGTTACCCAAAGAGATTAACAGAACCGAACAGGACAGTGGTGGTTACTATGTAGCGACAATAATAAGATGAAATAATACCCTATAAACAAATGATCATCTACTTTTGAACTACATCTCAAAGCTTTTGGACTACATCTCAAACTTGTTTTAATCTGGGTAAATGTTCTATGTTCTCACACTCAAGATGTTGAGTTCACCTCTTTAATCCTCAAACTTTACTTAGTCTTTAAATAGGACTTTATGAAGAACATAAAAATATTTTTGGCCAAACCAATTAAACATTCTTTTGACTGCACTAAACTGACCTCTCCTGAATCGATTCACTGTTTATGCCCCTTTTTCTTACCAGCGTGGGCCTTGCGGACGCGTCCTGTGTGGCTGTGGTTTGGTGGCAGAAATGACTGTGATTCTATGTTAGTGACTGTATGAATACAGGCCATATTATATTGCTTGGAATTAGAGGCTATTTTAAGTGTAGTTAACTAACTGACCTGCCTTGAGAGGGTCAGTTAGTTACTCTAGAAGGCCCGTTTAAAAAGCCTCAGAAAGGATCAGAGTGACTCTGTTTAATGTATTCCGAGCCACACTCAAGTGTGTGTGTGTTGGAGTGTGTAGAGAGCTGGAGAGGAGCTGAACAGCAGGAGCAGAACATCCATCATTCCAAACAGCCAACTGCCACAGACACGGCCACCGCCGCCGTTAGAGACACAGCAGAGTGACCACCTGATCGACAGCCAGGAGAGCTCCGTATAGTCGTATGCAAAAGTTGGGACTTCCCTGGTCAAATTCCATGTTTTGTTGATTTTCTAAGTGAAAATAAGTTGTAAAACATCCTCTACAGAGAAAACACACTTCTGCACAATTTAATGCTCATTTTAATGCTGAATTTGAGAAAAAATATTAAATTGTGTCCACAAGTTATAACACATTGAATATTTACTTGTTTTATTTTTTTCCCTATATGTTAAACTCATAAATACAAATTATGCACGGAAGTTTGCATGTCAAACTTCTGTATATGACTGTATGTTTATGTAAATTTATTTCATCTTTAGGCAGCACTTTGTGTGTGTGGGTTAGTTTGATAGAGATTAAGAAAGCATCAAAAACAGTCTGGGTGTCTTATTTCTATATTGTGTGTATATAAGGGAAGTAACGATATGATATTTCTTGTGATGATGATTTCACCGTACCGTATGTGTTTTTGATACACAAAATACAACCTGCCAACTTGTATTTTGCTATTTTTGTTGCCAACACAAGACCATAACGCCTGGTGGAAGCATAATTAACAAAAGTAACTTTCTTTAATCAATTTATCAGACCCAGAAAATTTGGGGGAAAAAAATGCTGATTATGGGCACATTATAAGTGCTAGTGACTGGTGTACTGGTTGAAATTCATCACCTCCTGCTGTGGCGTCTGTTTCCACCTGAAAGTGTTTGTTGCATCAGACGGCGCTGTGGTCTCAGGGCCTTGTGTGCGAAACCTGACGTAGACCAGCTGTTACTGAAGCATGAATGACTGTAATATTTTCCAAACTCCTGCAGTGTCTGATGGGCGGAGGCGCGAGTAGATGAGGCAAATGACTTGAAAGTCAACAAAGCCAAACTAAGCTTCTTATTAGAATTTCCCATTCCACCTTAAATGGTGCCACAGCTACATGTCAGGGTGCAATTGTGAACCTTAAATATGTTTTTCTCAGATGAAAAGTATGTATTTGTACCTTTTCATAACCCAGTGTTTTAAAACAGAACAATAAAATAAAAGGCCTGGAGGCGAGACGGGGTGTGTGGAGTCAGTACAACTTAGAAAATATCATTTCAGTGGATTACGGTACAGTTATGTTTCCTGACTAAAGGTACTGAGATGTACCCTTGAGGGTACCACCCGAGTGACGAGAGGGGACAGCTTAGTCCCTTTATTTCTCAGAGTGTTCAGTTGTTAAAACTTTTACTAAAAATGAAGGGATGTCCCAGAATAATAAATCATAGTTAACCTGCAAAAATAGGTTTACTTAAGCATCTAAAATGGTTTTGTTTGAAAATGCATACAAACACAGTGAAATACTGGAACATTAATCACCCAAGCTATGCATTTTTGGCCTCTTATATATAGATAGATCAGTCTGCCCTAGTCTTTATGTATGTTCTGTGATGTTATGCTGTACTTCCATGCACTTGCGTATGCGTGAGAGTGTGTTAGGACTTGTCTCGTGTGCTGCTGTGTTCTGCGATGGCTGTATGATAAGTGCGTACATGTTCATTTTTAAATCTGAGAGAGAGAGAGAGATAAATACTGAGGCGCAGGGGTAAGTATGCCATCAGTCAGGGGGCAGCTGTTCTGAGCTGATAAGGTGCAGTGATACAGTAGATAGGAGTGATTGGTACAGTCTGCAGCCCTGCTGCACACCCCTGCACTCCTCTCTCGCCAGCTCTATAAATCATTACCATCTCTAAAGAGCATCAGCGAGATGAATGCAGCTCACCGCGGGTATAAAATGTGTATTTGGGTTATTGGGGGCGTGCTCCAGCATCCTGAATTATCCGTATTGGTTGGAATGTGTGGGGGCGTCTGAATGTGTGTTTCATGTCATGTCACGTCTGAATGTGCGCTCTCATCCCTTTCTCTGCTTCTTTATTCATCCCCCTCTTCCCTCCCTCCTTCAGATTGACGCATTGAGTAAAAGAAGTAAAGAAGCAGAAGCTGCCTTCCTGAACGTCTATAAGAAGCTGATCGATGTCCCGGGTAAGTTTGTGCTTGTTTGTTTTTTTTTTTTAACTTGCTGTTTTTGTAGCTGCCTTTAAAGGGCCCATAAAATGAAAAAAATAATTTTCCTTACTTTTTTAAGATAAAGTTTAATGTAATATGTTAACACTGTTAAAATGTTAATACATGCCAGTAACTCAATCCATATGGTCCCTATAAGCTGCAAAAGCAGCCTGATTTTAATTCATGGTCTCTGTGATGTCACAGAAACCAATGCTTTTACATATATCTGCCTGTTCAGCCTACAGCAGTTTAGCTCCACCCATTCGTACTGGAGTGTTTCAGCCCAGACTGCTTTTTGAGTGAGGCACATAAAGAGCAGCCAATCAGAACACAGCAACAAAGGCACAGTTAGAGGTCTGCAGTTCCGCAGGATTCCCGCTGGACCCACGGGACCCACGACAATATCTTATGGCGCAGGACTAATTTTCAGTGTTGCTCACAGGAGCGGGTGGGAAACCAGGCCGCTGCAGGTGGGAGCGGGACTGCATGTTAATGAATAGCCTAAAGAAAGTAGAACGATTACTAAATCGTATATATAAGCATTATAAAATGATAACAATAAAACAATTAAAATGAATGAAGTCATTCTAAAGAGTGTAAAGCAACCGATCACGTGAGCAAGATGCAAAGGGCGGAGCCTTCAGGCTGGTATTTGCCCACCAAATATAACCATTTTGTGGTTTAATTCCTGGTTTATCTTTACTGAAAATAAATGGCATTTGGTGAAGATACTTCACAGTGAGCCTGATGACCATGACTGCCGTGTTATTTCAGCAGAGAATATAACGTATTAGTGAATAGACTGTGTCAGATATTGGATGTCAGTTCACCTTGAAGTAACTTTGTGGGCCCAAGTGGGACAAAAGATTATGATTTTCTGCGGGAGCAGGATGAAATCCTGAGGGAGCGGGACTGAAAGAACAGTCACACTAACAAAAATAGCCAGTTTAATTCTAAGAGGTGAGGAGAGGTTAGAAAAAGGTCATGACCTAAGCGTTTTTTTTTTTCCCAGAATATTTTATATCATTTTTTTATACAAGCAGCCTACAAATCTCTGCTACAAATGAAAACATAACTGTTTCCACCACCTACACCACCTCTGTGAACAGTTCAGCCAAAAGTGGCAAACCCATAGGTGGGGTTAGTTGTAACAGACTAAGGGGCTCGTAGGGCTGAACGATGAATCATTTTTATACCGAAATCACAAATTTTTAAATGAAAGAATGCAATTTTCAGATTGCAAGAGGTGCAGTTTAAATCATATCCCACATTGTTCACGGTTATCTTTACAAATTTCAATTCAATTTCAAGCCAGTTTATTTCTGAAAAATGAAGAGAGGTTAGAAAATGGTCATGTAAAAATGAATTATGACCAGTTTTGGCTGCCAAAACCACTTAGATGATGTAAAAGAACTTTCGGAAGAAAAATAAATAAAGAAAGAAAAATGTAAGATATGGGCCCTTTAAGACTGATATATGTAAATGAGCTCTGTTCTGATTGGCTGCTTCATTGAAAAAGCAGTCCAGGCTGAAACAACAATATAATTTCAGCGTAATGTAATTTCAGGACCTCAGCTGCTGTAGGGTGAAAGACTGGCTGTACATACATGTGATTCTGTGACCTCACAAAAACAGTCATTTCAAAACAACTTAATTTCTACATAAAGTGAAAATGTGAACGTTTGTTTTGGGGGTAGATAAATTAATAAAGGGTAAAAGCATCAACAACATGGTGACCTCACTCAGTGAGTCAGTGCTGTTTTAGGATAGATTCTTCACAGGTTTGTATCAAGTTCGTTCCTGTTTTCCTTCCAAACTCTGGTCCAGCATTTACTACTGATATCGGCCCGATGCTGATACCGAGTATCATATCGGTGCCGTCTCTGCTCCACACACAGCTCTGCAGAACAGCCTCTCACCACAGCCTGACACATCTGCCTACAGCACATACCTGCTCACTCACATGAGAGCCTGTTCAGCTGCTCACTCGTGCATGCTTCGGGTTTGCATGGAAGGCACGCAAACAGCGTGCATGCGCGTGTGTGTGTGCATGCGCATGTGTGTGTGTGCATGCGCGTGTGTCACTTGGAGCGGCTGACGTAACGTCGGGCTGGCAGGGCCAGCGTGTAAAACAAACGCAGAGTTGTACAGCTGGGCTGTGGCACTGCCTTTAAAATTAGCTCTCCAGAGACAGAGAGAGAGAGAGAGAGCGAGAGAGGGCAAGGTTTTTCTGCAGCTCTTCACAGGGGAGAGCGAGGCTCGACCTAACACGCTTTCTTTTTTTCAGAATATTTTATAATTATCTATACAAGCAGCCTACACATCTCTGCTGCAAATGAAAATATAACTGTTTCCACCACCTACAGTCTGAACAGTTCAGCCGAAAGTGGCAAACCCATAGGTGGGGTTAATTGTAAAAGACTGAGGGTCTCTTAGGGCTGAACAATTCATCACTTTTGTACCAAAATCACGATTTTTAAAGAATTTAGTTTTCAGAATGCAAGAGCTGCAGGTTTTTTCCTTGTTTTTTGTTTTTTTTTGGGGGGGGGGTTTTCCCCTATTTTCTCCCCAATTTAGTCAGTTCCAATTCCACCCAATAGACCCCCTAATCACACGCAGAGAACCACATAGTGTAGACGTTACCATGACAACCAGCATCACGTGAGTCCAGTCAGAGTGAGATGAGCAGCAGTGAGCAGTGCTCGTGTTTTTAATGACTTTCAAATGATGTCAGACTCAGGAAAACGTCCTTCACATGTCCTTATTAAAGAAGGCCGAGAGGAAGGCGTCGTGTTCTGAGACACGTAAGCTGGACGTCCGTCCCACCGCCGTCTTTTAAAGATCAGAGCATAAACTTCGTCTCCTCTGCAGACCCGTTTCTGCTCCGCCATGTTGAACAGTATAAACTCTCGCTATGACGTGACGCACATGATCAGAACGGACTTTCTGATTGGGAACGTAATCAGATACAGGCGTTTACACGGATATTATTCTTCTATTTAACTGATTATTCACAGGATTACCCACCTCATTTAATCGGATAGAAACTGTATTCCGAATGGCCTCAATCAGATGTATTCTGTTCGGATTGAGCTGTTAGTCGGATTATTAACGGATTATTAGGCTCCATGTAAACGTGGCTAATGATGAGTTGAGTGCTTTAAAAAGGGTGCAATATTACAGCCACCAAGTGCCCCCATCTTACCCCATGCTAGGTTGCTCGCTGCTCTCCTTTATTATTGTTTATCAAACTAACAGATACAGTTGTGTGCGAAAGTTTTGGCGCCCCGGTCAGGTTTTTTTATTTTATTTTTTAAACATCCTCTACAGGGAACACATTTTAATGCACAATTGCTGTTTATGTATTATAATATATTGGAGGGGAAAAAAACTAAAAGTGATCTACTACATTTGGGCTCTAAGGAGAGAGAATTTCGCAAACGGTTGCTGTGATATGAAGACGTTTCTTCTTGGCCGTCGTCTTGTTGTTTTGGTTGGTTCGGCCAGCTGTTTAACACGCCCTCTTCACTCCGTCGCTGGTTTTACAGGCGTTTAAGCCGTTTCCTGCCCTCACCGTGTGTTTCAGACACCCGTCAGCTTGACCAAAGCCTGAGTGTGTGTGAAGTCACCTTGAGTCAGTGTGAGGCTCCCCAGACTCCTGCGGCTAATCTCTCTCATTTCAATAGTTGAGACGTCCAGCAGAGCGACACCACAGAGCTAGGAGAGGCGGTCGCTCCAGCAGCAGCGGGTGGGGGGTGGTGGGGTGGAGGGGAGGAGGGGGTGTGTGGGGGCCCACAGTACCTCACAGTGTTACAGCAGCTCCAACTTTATTCTGAGCCTCAGTCACTAAGGCTCTCTTAACGCCCCCCCCCACACTCTATCGCTCTCTCTTTCTCTCTTTTTCTGTGTTTCTATATATCGCTCTCTCTTTCTGTCTCCGTCTTTTTTCTTTTTCTCTCTCTCTTCCTCCTCTCTCATTTTGCTTCTCTCTTTTCTTTCTCGTTTTCTTCTCGCTCCCTTTTATTCCTTTTCTTTTGCGTTCTCTCTCACACCCTTTCTTTTTTATCCCTCTTTGTTTTTGAATGTATTTAGAGTTTTTTTTCCTCTTCTTTCTTGTGCTACACTCCTTAAGTGTGGTTCTTAGAATGGTTCCATACAGAACCATGAATATTCAAACAAGCCTTTGCATGGTTAAAGGTTCTTTGCATGGTGAAATGGTTCCTCAAATTGATGGAGAATGTGCTGTAGATGGTTCTGTGTAGCACCAAAAAGTGTTCTGCTATTGTTATGATATCAAGCTTGCAACAATAGAAGAACCCTTTTTGGTCCTATATCGAGCCCTTTTCAAAAAGGTTCTATACAGAACCATATACAGCACGTTCTCCATCAGTCTGAGGAACCATTTCACCATGCAAAAAACCATTTAATCATGCAAAGGCTTGTTTTAGTGTTTATGGTTCTGTATGGAACCCCTAAAGAACTCCTAAAGAACCATCTTTTTAAAGAGTGTATTTAACTGTCTCCCTCTCTTCCTCTCTTTTACTCTTTCTCTCTCTTCTTTCTCCCTCTTTTTCTCTCTTCCTCATTCTCTTTTCCTTTCCCACCCCATCCCCTCTCTTTCTCTCTTTCTCTGCTCGTCTCTCCGTCTCTCTCCCTCTCCTTTTCTCTTTTTTATCTTCCTCTGTTTCTCTCTCTTTCTCTCTTACTCTGCTCGTCTCTCCGTCTCTCTCCCTCTCCTTTTCTCTTTTTCATCTTCCTCTGTTTCTCTCTCTTTCTCTCTTTCTCTGCCTGTCTCTCCGTCTCTCTCCCTCTCCTTTTCTCTTTTTTATCTTCCTCTGTTTCTCTCTCTTTCTCTCTTTCTCTGCCTGTCTCTCCGTCTCTGTCCCTCTCCTTTTCTTTTTTATCTCCCTCTTTCTCTCTCTCTTTCTGACTTCTCACACATCCTCCCTCTCTCTCTCTCTCTCTCTCTCTCTCTC